CGTGCCACAGTGCCTGCCTGGTCCTGAGTTTCATTCCTGATATAAAAAAAAAGTAAAAGTAAAAATCAGAGTCCCTCCAAGATGATCACCAAATTTAAATTTCTTTAAAAAGTGCTAATTTGTTGTCCAGAGAGAGTGATTTTACAAGACTTTAGAAATCGCAAAATAAAGAGTTTCTACAGTAGATTTCCTGTACTGTTTCAGAGGAAAGCTTTAGGCTAATGAGAACAAGAAAACAAACGACTATGTTTCCTGGTTTGAAGTAGCAATCACTTTATATTTTTAATTGTGTTTGCCAATTCTTTTTTCTTTGTTTTGCATAGCCTAACACTTGAAAAGAAATGTAAGGTGTCCCTCGCGTCCTCTGGCCAGCCCATTTTGTCTGTCTGCTTCAGACAGAAGCAGCCAAATTCTCACGAAAAGCCTGCTGGGATGGAGCCAGAAAGGAGGGAGTTGGGTAATTCAGAGATTTAAGGAGATCAGCCTGCCTGACCTGATCTATCCATCCAGCTTCCCACAGACCTAAGAGTCATCTCTGGGTAATCTCTCCAGGGGGCTGGGAGCACTATGAGCTCACACCTATGTGGAGTCTCCTCTTTGTTTCCGCAGCCTCATCAGTGCCACTTGAATTGAAATATTTTCTTTTTTAAGATTTTTTTTTCCTCTTAGCCTACTTTTAAACAAGGCTAGGAGCCATTTCTAACTTTAGTTGAGTTTTCCTTTTGCTTATTATGCTATTTCATTTTACATTTCCAGTTTTCGTATCTCAAGCCAATCTAATTCCAGGCATTTAATCCACATTACTTTGGTGAAATCTTTGTAATCCTTTAAAAGACCTACTCAGAAAACATCCAGCCACAGGACTAGGGAGATAGCTCAGTAGAATAAGTGCTTGCCTGGCAAGCGCAAGGTCCTGAGTTCAATCCCCAATACAGGAGGGGAAAAAAAAAAGACAGAGAGCCTAGATAACAGAAAGCATCTGGCCGCCAAAGTTTCACAATCTACCCACGGTCATGAAATGTAAGAAAAAGAGCTAAATAGGACAAAGCAAGTTCTGCTCCTGCCTCATACTCTTAGAAGCTCATGTCACAAGCAGGTGTTGACTTTCCCAAACTTCAGCTCCCTCACCTGATGAATCGAAGATAGGACTGGAGTCTATAAGGATTCTAGCTCTAAGTTCCCATGACTGTTAGCAGGAAGTACAAGGGTTTGTAGATTTGTGATACAAATTGTACCTTTAAGTGAGATACTGACATTGGTTCATAATTATTATTTTTTTT